ATGAGAGGAAAATTGTTTGAAGCCATTTCTTCTCCATTCAAAAATCACTGCTCCTCACATGTATACCCGAGTAAGTGCTCCTGATGCCTATCTATTTGTATAAATAGATGTTCATAAGACACCCACTTCCCTGTTGGTTTTAATAGCACTGATAACATATTCTATCTTAGTAGCACGACTCCATATCATCATCAAATAGCTCTTCCTGCAATCTAAACCACATTGGCAGAGCGCGGGGCGAGGGCAATATTCATGGAAGAAAAATAGACTTTAATTAAGAGGAAAACTTTAATTACAGAACGAATTTACTCCAATTAACAGGATACACGGCATGCTGGGCTTTTCTCCACCACCCACGCAGACACTCATACAGTCTTCAGCAGGAAATCCAGAGAAATACACCGATTAATACATTGCATATTGTATGCAAAAACACATACAACATACTGTACATGTTTACATTAATTTCTCCATTGCATTAGCAATATGAGAGGGTGTTTTCAAACAGCAAATCCGGAGACTTTGCCATTCTATGACAAAGGATGCTGCTTGACAAACGGTGCTCCAACTACTGAAAGGTACAACAGTGCTTGATCGAATACTTTACAGTCAAAGAGGCTTAAACGCACTATTGTAATTGGTAATGAATGAGTCTTTGCTGGCAATAAAAAGCCCAAAGAATGAGGTGAAACCCTGTGAGACGCAGCCACCAGCACGGTTTGGTAACCAATGAGGGTTTTTTTTTTCTAATTACCAATGTGAAAACAGGGGGCTTGTTTAGGCAGTTTATCCTCGCATCGCCTCCCATCTGTCACCAGACCTCAGATCTGATTCAAATCACTAAAGGTCCTCGGCAGTCAGTAGGCTCCAACAATAACTGCCTCCGCTTCTTTAGACGGTCTCCTGTCCGTTACTAAAAAGTTGATCATTCCCTCTGACTTTATGAGAAGGTTGCAACCCAAGAAAAATATGCCAAAAACCACCGTGAGGGACAAAACGCACATGACGGCTATCTGGACCACCCTTGTGACGAAGAGGCTCCTCTCGTCCGGAGCGGCGGCCACAAAGCCGTTATCGGTCACCACGGAGGAAAAGTTGCAGCAGAAGAACTCCTCGGTCTTGTTGAGCAGTCCGCCCTCCGTTTGGTTGAACCCGGTGTTGTTCATTTCCACTTTTTGTTAAAAGCAAACTTTCAGTGCGAGAGACGTGAGAGGCAGAGAGGGAAAAGACGCGCTTGGAACAATCCCTGTGAAATGTGTCATCAAGTGAGCAGTAGAGATGACGACAAGAAGCTGAACTGAAGAAGTTCCTTCGGATCAGACAGCGCTCTTCTGGAGTTGAACAAGCTGCTTTGGCATCGCATCACTGAAGATTGCATGTGGTCTGTGGCCAGATTCAGAGCAGAATGAATCCACCAACCCCCGGTTAAATAGCTACAACAAGCTGGCTACAACAAGTGGCACTGCGACACAGCAAGAGCGCCGCCATCCGACCAGACTGCACACGTGTCAAGAGTGCTATGTGTGTATATGAATATAGCCTGTATGTACATTGGGTACCAGTGCTTTAAGAAATGATGCATATCTATCTATCTATCTATCTATTTAAGAAAGAGAGAGACACACACACACACACACACACACACACACACACACACACACACACA